AGCACAAGAGGAAGAGTTTGAGTGTGTCGGTTTCTTCCCGAGAGGCGTCAACGAATACGAGGGTGTCATCTGCATATTGCAAGTGTGACACCATGGGGCCTTGAGAAGTGGTAGAGAAGCCTGAGAGGAGGCCAAACTAGTAAAGGCAGGAGAGGGATCTAGAGAATACTTCCACGGCAATGGCGAAAAGGAAGGGGGAGAGGGGATCCCCTTGACGGAGTCCCCTGTGAGCAGGGATGTATTCTGTCAGTGACCCATTGATGAGGATGGACAAATGGGGGTGAGTAACAACCTCTCATCCAATTCCTCCATCGATTCCTGAAACCCATTCTCCCCATGGTTTCATCCAAGATGGACCAGTCGACGTGGTCGTCCGCTTTCTCCCAGTCTATTTTGAAAATTAATCCCGGTTTCTTGGCTAGGTGTCTCGAGTGGAGGCACTCATTGGCTACGAGGACCCCATCCAAAATCTGTCTATTTTGAATGAAGGCGGATTGGGAGGGAGATATAATAGTGGGGAGTACAAGCTGGAGTCTAGAGGCTAGGACCTTCGCAAGAATTTTGTAAGTTGAGTTCAGGAGGCTGATAGGGCAAAAGTCCTTGATTTCCTCTGCCCCTTGTACTTTAGGTACAAGGGCAATGAAGGTGGCATTTAGAGCTTCATTTTTAGGAGCTCTCTTTTTAAAAAGTATGATGAGTACCCTGCCTCTTCAAAAAGATGGATACTCTATCTCTTTCTCTTTTAAAAAAGATGGGTACTTTTGCCTACTCTCTCTCTCTCTTCAAAAAGAGTGAGGCATACTCTCTCTTCAAAAATATGTGTACTCTCTCCACGCACTATTTTTAGGAGCTCTCTCTAAAAAGTATGATGAGTACTCTCTCTTTTCAAAAAGATGGATACTCTATCTCTTTCTCTTTTAAAAAAGATGGGTACTTTTGCCTACTCTCTCTCTCTTCAAGAAGAGTGAGGCATACTCACTCTTCAAAAATATGTGTACTCTCTCTTTCTCTCTCTTCCCTTAAAGATGAGAATGTCTCCTACAACCTCTATGGAGTTAGGGTCCCTTCTTATTTTCTCAACATGTGTCCGCTCCTTAACTCTTGGTTAATAATGTAGTATAGATAAAAGCAGATAACATAAAAGACAGACAAACTTCTTCCTAGTTAAGAAGGTAAATCGACAATAATGTAACGACTGTAAGATTGTCATGGGAAAGAGTTTGACTACACAATATAGGCTCGTGGTTATGGACATCTGCATAAAGAGATGGAAGAAAAGGGGTGAAATTAACAGGTGTCCAAGAACTAGATGGTGGAATTTAAAAAATGAGAAAATAGAGTTATTTAGAGATAAATTAATTAAAGAAGGAAAATAGAACTCTGAATATGAGGTCAATATTATGAGGAATGAGATGGTTGACTTATTAAGAAAGTGACAAAAGAAGTTTTAAGAGAAACTAGAGGAAAAGAAATTTCAACAAGGAAACTTAGTGGTGGAGTGATGAGGTTTAGAGGTCATTAGTAAAAAATGATTAGGCTATAAAACTTGGTAATATAATAGAAATGATCAAAACTTAGATAAAAATAGAAGTGCTAAAAAAAATGCCAAACTATAATTACTCGAAGTGATTCGAAAACCGAACCGATTTAGAAATTGGAAGCACGAAATTGCCACCGGATGGAAGATTCTTGTTTTTGGAATCAGCATCCATACAAGACGAATCGTGCGAGATAAGATTCCTATTTTTAAGAATCGAGACTCGACCAAAATAGAATCGAGATCCCCACATAGATGAGAATCGAGATTCTAACTCTTTGGAATTGAGGTTCTGACCTAGTTAGAATCAACCAATATTCAGAATCTTTCATTTATGGAATTCAGAATCCAACATCTTTAGAATTGAGAGAGAACTGAGGGAAACAATACATGTCTTAATGTCATTCATTGACCGACATGTCATACATGCACATTTACATTATTTTTAACATCTTGGAGTTGCAATCTCTCCATTGGATCAATACAATGCATACTTAAAGACTTAAGCGGAGACCATTTTTTTTATATAATAATTAAGTAAAGAACATGGACCACCACTTTGGTTTCTATTGGTCATTTCATGGCAAAAAAGATTACCACCTTGTAGCTTGAGATTGAGTGTCAAGCTCAAGTAGTTTGATGCCTTGCAAACTTCTAAACATCACTTATCAAGAAAAAACAAAAACAAAAAAAGAGGAGGAAAAGGAGAGGGGGGATGGCAATAGAATTTCGATAAATGTGGAAACTAATTTCAAAAAAAGCAGAATCAAGATTCACCAATTGCATAATCGAGAATCAATAAATATTAGAAATGAGATTCTATGAATGTTAGAATCAAGATTCCTAAAATAAGGAATCGAAATTCTAGACTTCACAAAAAAGGGTTCTGTGAAAATTCCTAGTTGAAATCGTCGAATTGGTGTTCCGAATCAGAATCGCAACCTTCAGTGAGAGATTCGGGTAATTATGTGCTAAACAAATAGTAAAGCTAAACTTAAGATACATGATAATCTATACAGTAAACTGAGAATAATAAAAGGTGAAATACATGCCTTTAAATTAGAAAAAATGAGTAAAAAAAATGTAGGGATCTAGGCCATACTAAATGCATTACAAGTGAGGATCAAAAGGTCTTGGTGAAGGATGAAGATGTCAACAAAAAGTGGAGATTTCAAAAATTATTAAACACCGAACACAATGGGAACACAGCAGTAGAATGAACTGTTGGTATAAATGAGGATGGAGGTCATAGATACATTCATAGGATTAAGATATAAGACGTGAGGGAAGCTTTGAAGATGTTGCAGATAGGAAAAGCTTTAGGACCAAATGGTATCCCGATAGAGGTTTGAAAGCGCATGGAGGAAATCGGCATTGGCTGGCTGACCAAGTTGTTCAATAAGGTGTTGAAAACAAAGAAAATGCCAAATGAATGAAGGAAAAGTACTATAGTACTTATTTACAAGAATAAAGGAGCCATCATAATTATGCTAACTATCAAGGGATCAAACTTATGAGCCACACCATGAAGCTGTGGAAGAGCGTGATTGAGCAACGACTAAGGCATGAAACGAGTGTATCAAAAAACCAATTCAGTTTTATGCCAAGGAGGTCAACAACTGAAGCTATTTTCCTAATTAGGCAACTGATTGAGAAATATAGGGCAAAGAGAAAAGACCTCATAGTCGTTATCGATCTAAAGAAAGCTTATAATAAAGTACCTCGAGATTTAATTTGAAAAAGAAAGGAGTCTCCAGATACTACATCGACTTAGTGAGAGATATGTACAAGGGAGAGCTAACTAGTGTGCGAACAACTAATAGAGAGATGAATAAATTTTCAGTGACAACAGGTCTATCTCAGAGGTCAGCGTCGTGCCCATACCTCTTTTGTCTTAGTTATGGACGACTTAACTAAGCACCTAGAAGATGAGATACCGTGGTGGTGTTGTTGTTTGTGGACGACATAGTTTTGATTGGTGAGACCCAGAATGACGTCAATACAAAGTTAAAACTTTAGAAGGATGCTCTAGAATCTAAAGTTTTAAAATTAGTCTGACTAAGAAAGAGTATATGGAATGTAAGGTTAGTAATAATAGAAGGAAAAGTATATAATGAGACCATTTACCTTTGGTACAAGATGGTCACAATTAATCTTGACCATTGGATGTAAAATTAGGTAGCTGCATTTATTTCATTGACCAAGCTCAAAGTTCAAAAGAAATTTTCTCGAACTTTACGACACACTCAAGCTATTAGATTTCACATCAGATGGTTGTAAGTAATTATGACCTCCCTGTACTAAAGGTAAGTGGTTTCATTGTATACAATCCCATAATAGAAATAGATACGAGGAAGTAGTTAAGATTGATGGTCAAGAATACCAAAAAGATTGTGTTTTCGATATCTTGGGTCAATAATCTAGGAAAATAAAAAGATTGAGGAAGATGTCGCACATAAAAATAAAGCTGGGTGGGCGAATTGGAGATGTACAACCGGAGTTTATGCAATCGCCGTATTATCAATGAAGTTGAAGGGTAAGTTTTGTAGGACAACTGTGAGACTATCTTTGCTTTATAGGGGGAATGTTCGGCGATCAAGAAGCAACATATCATAGGATAAGTGTAGTTTAGATGAGGACGTTGAGATGAATGAGTGGCAAAACAAGAAGGGATATAATTCGAAATATATACATTCATAATAACTTAAGTGTGGCAACAATAGCAAATAAGATGAGAAAAGTAGACTTAGGTGGGCAGGCCATGTGCAACACCTGCTAGGAGGTGCAAGTCAGTTCAAGTGGAAAGCTCAAAAAAGGCAAGAGGTAGGACCAAAAAGACATGGTTGGAAGTAGTGAGAAAAGATATGAAGACTCATGATCTCACTTAGAGTATGACCCTTGAGAACAGAATGGCAGACCAAAATTCGTGCAGCCGACCCCAAATGTTTGGGAAAGGGCTTTGATGATGATGATAGTATAAAATTTTGATTTTCTTTCCTTCATGCTTGAAGTTTCCAACTTGATGTGACTATATAGACCATCTTGTATACGACATAATTATTCCACAAACTTTACACAACAGAAATACACATTACACATTATAAGCATTCTTAAGTAAGGCGACTTTGACAAAAAAATGAATGCTAAACTCTTCCACATATTAGAATAGGTGACCCATCAATTCAGTGCAGATTCCCAAGTTGAATAACAAACAAGTAGCAGCAACAGGCATTCCTCATGTGCTTTATCAGTGGCATGACATATTTACAAACTTCAAACCCATGTTACTAGAATATTCAATATATAGAAGGATTAAATATTTTACATGTTAAACACAGCTGCATGCCACATGCTTCTGGTGCATATCAAGAACTTCAGTTCATTGGGAAGATTTCATCAAAATGAAAGAAGCTATTGGTTTTTCAAGAAAGTGTTCATCAAAATGAGAGTGAGAGAAACTAACCATTTTCTCATAACCATTGATGAGTTTTGAATAGTCGACATTTTTTGAAGAATTTGAGTGCTTTGAAGTTACCCAGGAACCCTTTGCATCATGATTCTTGCTCTTTGCTCGACACATATCACCTGAAGTCTCTCCATTCTTTCTCTCTCTCTCTGCTCTAGGGGACAAACTCCGGCTTCTCCTCTCTCTCCTATGGTCACTTCTCTCTCTACTATGAGAATGTCTCTCTCTTTGATAATGCCTCTCTCTACTACGAGACCGATCACGACTTTCAGCCCTACCTCTCCTATGACTCCTCTCTCTGCTTTGTGACCTATTTCGATTATGTCTCCTCTCAATTCTCTCTCTACTACGAGACCTGTTATGACTCCCTCTCCTCTCACTTCTCTCTCTACTACGAGACCTTCGACGATTCTCGAGCCTATCTCCCTCTCTAAGACGACTATCTGAATTTCGATTGAGCTTGTTGTGTATGCTCTCTATGCGCAACTGCTTCTGCTTTGAATCTTCCAAGAATTTATCTGTGTTTGTGGCCTTCACAAAATTGCTTAGAGAAGAATGAGAAGAGGCTTGGAAAGTTGATTCACCAGAAGAATAACCAAGCCCTTGCTTAAACCTTGCTGCGCCCTCTCCTTTGCGAGTGAGCTCATCATAATATGATGCAGCTTTATCTTCCTCCATTGAAGCCCTAAATCATCAGGACATTATAATCTCTCTCTCAATGGAAACCCCAGAATATCACAAAGGCTGGGAAGACCTCTGAAAGAGACTCCCTCTATCTCTCTGAACAACAGAAGAACACCAGAAAACCTAGAGTCAGTTAACTGCTGGTATGGGCTTCTCTTCCTCCGCGGAAACCCTAGGAATTTAGAACCTTAGGGTTCAACTGCGATTAGACGACATCATAACTATGAGCTCTTCGGACATGGATTGGAGGGCAGAGTCCTTATGGCTTGTTTGGCTTCCTGGGTTAACAAAACCGGGATTTGAATCAACATCTTATTATGGCAGATATTTGGTTATGTTAAAACGTGGTTGCTAAAGCAGGACTGCTGGACGGCTTTCAATGGTAATCATCATCTTTTTGTGTAACCGGGTTTGTCATTATGGGTTGTTTGGTGCGTGAAAGTTCAACTTGAAAAATATTCACCAAAACAACATTTACATACGCATACCACCATTCAAAACATCGGATCGGGCCGACTAGTCGGTCTCCACTGATCCTATTATTCCGATCGATTCGATTATAAAGTGCGGTTTGTACTGAGTCAGGCTCTAAACAATGAAATTAGAGCCTACCCTTCAAATAGTATCAAGAAATGTGATTTCAATATTAGAAATTTTTGTGACACCTTTAAAATGTATTTTATATTTATTAAAAAAATTTAAAGCTTCAAAACTAGTGTCCATCGACAGATATATGAAAACTTGAAAATCTTGAAAATTGACGGTCCAAAAATGTATTACAAAATACACTATTTTCAAAACTTGAAATCCATTTTTTTCTCGTGTCTATGCATCTTGATGTTGAGATGATCAATTTGAAGATATTTGAGCA